TCGGAAAGAATTTCTACGGAAAATTAACAAACGAACATAGAGACGTAACAATTGCTTTAGCATAAGAAAGACGAAAAACTACTTGGTCTTTTTTGTACAAAAAAGACAAAATGCATAAGAGAACAATACAATATCGAGAATCAAGTGTAAAGATTATCTTTTCATATGATGGTACTAAATTAGTGTTTATTAGTAACTGTCAGCGAACCTACAACTGATTTGGGAGGGAAATTTCTTATTATTTAGCAGCATAATTTATTTTTAATAAGCATATGTAGCTATCTATTCATAAGAAATCAGTTGTATTTATATAATAGTAGGATTTAGAATTTATATATATATATATAATACGTCTCCAGTTTACCTTCGTGGCGGAAGTGGTAAGTAATTCTAAACATATGAGAAGTTTTGAGCGAAAGCAAAAAAGACTATGTAATAATACGATCCGGTCCAACGAGACATTTCGTCAAATACTAGTGCTCGATAGGCTGCTTGGGATACGACAAGGAATCTAGACGCTATTTATATCATCAATTGCATGTACAACAATTGTTAGTGTTACGGTAGAGTGGATTGTTGTAATTTACACATTACTGATAAAGTGATATAGAATTTCCTGATTTTATGTTTAAGCAATTAATGTTATTATTAATTTAGATTCAGGGAAGGTAAATCCGTTGAGTTTCAACTTCGAACTTTGTGTTGGGTATCATTATTAATATTATACGAGGTATAGTATTGTAAAATTCAAATATACCCTAAGCCTTTTAATTTTAGTCTACATAGTACGTTACGTTTTAATACTAATACTGTTGTCACGTTAGCTCGTTATAAAACTAAAAGTTATGGTTTTTACTGCACATGTGCCTTCCAAGAAATTTAGTGTGAGTTTATAAAACTAGAGTGATTCAGGCTTTCTATAGTTTACTTATAATGAGTTATATTTATCCATTACCAGAAATTACTCATTTTGTTTAAAATGTTTATTGACGTCCGTGATAATTTTCAGTAATACTAATATTAATAATCACGGAAGTTTTCTAAGTTATGTGATATTTAGTAGCCTAGATTTCCTAAGAAGTTAAACTTAAAGAACTTTAACCAGTTAAACATATATTATAGTTTGGTCAATGGGTGTGAGAATTTAAGTCTAGTTGTTTACATTTATGATTTATAGCTTATTGAAAGTAAAAAAATTAAGTAGAGAAATTGTAGAATTCAATATATAAATATAGATCAAATTTGAATGAGATTGAGTTTAAAATGAAATGGGGTTAGCTTAAACTTTTATAAATTGTATCAGATTGTATATTTTTTTAAAGGACAATTTAGATGATGGATAAGCTCAAGATGAACAATTTTTATACAATGAATTGTCATAAGTAGTATGATTTTAGTGATTAACTATAGTAACTCTCATAAACTAATGGTAATATCTTTGCATGATAAGATTTAATAGCTTTTGTGAATTATCAGTTGTATCCTCATACTAGCTATATTAGTTCTTGTGTATTAGAAAGTAATTTTGTGATGTGATTGGCAGTGGCAGCTTTAAAGAAGTAGTTATACCATAGGCCAAGTAAAAAAAAAACGTTTAGTGTCTGGAGTTTTAGAAAAAGGAGAGAGGAGGTCTTTTTTTTAATAATTTCTTTGAAAGAAAGTTTGCACTGTTTGTTTTCATGATTGTTGGTTGTTTTAAAATGGTCCATGTCAAACAGAAGCCTTTTTTTTTTTGTTGTTTAAATTTTTCATCAAAACAATACAGAATTTAAGAGAAATAAAGAAAGAGGGCAAATGAATCAACTGTGTTCATCTCCTTTTTTATTCAGAAGTCTTCTGTATATGATCAAAAATGATAATTCCAAAAATTGCTTTTTGTAGCATTATTACACACTCAGCTGAAGAAGGTATATATAAATCCTAATTGATTAGATGTGGTAGCTCTCTTACTTAAACATTTATTGTTTGTGAGTTGCAACTTGTCTGTAATATTGAAAATTAAAATTTTATTTAAGTGCAAAACTTAATTCTGCTACGTTGCCCACTTACCTTGAACCTTCTGGCTTTATTCTAAGTGTAAGTCTTCATGAGAAGCCACTGATGTAAAAAAAAAATGCAATTTTAGAAACAGGTGTATCTACTGTTACCATGTAATTATATATATTCTTGACCTTTGGTCAGTTTTGTTTCCTGTTCTTTTGTTACAGATGCCCTTATACATGTGAAATTCTGTTACAGATTAAGTAGGTATTTGCGATTTCTAAAATTGGTTATTGCACTCCATTGATATATATATATAATTTTTTTTATCTTCTTAAGGTAAATAAAAAAAAAATGTTGTCACAATAGTTTTTGCTTTATGCTAATATCCTATGCTTTTTTAAACAATGTCTTTATCAATATATATTTAACAGTATTCAAACGTATGGCCACGTAACTTTTAACACAAAGAGTAAAATTTTAAAGGTAAATTGGAAAAAAATCTTCCCATTTAATGTACATGAATATGTAATAAATAACACCTTCCACTGAGAAATTTAATTATTGTGTTCAAAGATTTTGAAGATTCCAAAATTTAGTTATTGTACACAGTTATATTAATCATAATTTATGTATCTCCTGTTATGGTTTTAGGTATATTTGGCAAGAATGGATGAAGACTCTGTATCTAATGATTTTCCATCCCAGAGTAATCCAGCCACTCCTTTAATGAGTAATCCTGTTACTCCAAGAAATGAGAGGAATGGTGTGGATGTTACTGTTGTAACTTCTTCTGTAACAGCACTTTGTGCACCTTCAGTGACAAGGCAGTCTCCCTCAAAATATACTCAGCTACTTGCAGTGATTGAGGAAATGGGAAAAGATATCCGACCTACTTATGCAGGAAGTAAGAGTTCTGCTGAACGCTTAAAGCGCGGTATTGTTCATGCTCGTATTTTACTACGAGAATGCCTAATGGAAACGGAACGAAATGCTAGAAGTTAAAATGATGTATTTTGGTGTGTTTGGAAAGTTATTTTTCTTTTTGGGTGTTTTGCTCATGGTCAATTCTTCTGTTTTTGGTAGGAGAACTTTGAAAGTGATTGAATGCATGTTACGTTTGTGTAACTTTACCAGTATTTAGGATATATGTTGATTTAGCATACAATGAGGTTATGTTGTATAAATTGATGATTTTAGGAATTCAAGAAAAGTTGCATCTTTTAGAAGTATTGTTTAATGCATTGTAGCTTGATTGAAAATGCTCTCTCTCTCTCTCACACACACAGTGTTTATTTTTTAACTATAATTGGAAAATTATCACAAGTGTATTTTTTTGCTGTAATGTCTGTTAGAAGAATGCATAAACTATCAAAGCCTGTTAACTATGAACTTTGGTATTGAAGGAAAGGCCTTTTTTTCAGCACTGAATATAGCAGATATATTGACACATTGTTGTACATTCGTCTTGCTTTCACTCATACTTTCTTAGAATCCATTTTATGGTGGATGTAACTTGTGACGTTATTGTAATCCTCTTACATGTAAAATAAAAATTACTAAACGTATTTGTATTTCATTCAGTTTAATCAAATTTAACTTTATTATGTTAATTTCAAAAAGGGTTTTTACTATTGAGAAAAGATGTTTTTGCACATTAGGAGTCAAACAGATTGAAGAAAGCTTATAATGAAGACTAAATCTGGTTTGTGCATGTGTATGAAATGTTTTTAGTTAAACTAATATTAAGATTGCTAATAACTGATATCCTAAAAACATGTATCTAGCTTCAGAAACTTAGTTTTTTTTGTTTCAAATATGAGATTGTTCTATAATAATAAAAATAATGATTATCATTCCCAAAAGCTCTGGTGATTTGGCAGTAAGCTTGAGGGCTTATATTGCCAAAATTTGGGTTCTGAACCCCATGATGGGCACATCACAGATAGATGACTGTGAAGTTTTGTTCTTAATAGCAAATAATTGTCTTATAAGTACTATAATGAGGTTTTATATTGATAAGATTCTTTTTTAAGAACTGAAAATAATATTTAATGATTAATTATGTTTGTGACAAGTTACTATCTCAAGTCTTAGTATTGATATCAGGAGTACAAGAAAACCATCATTGAAACAAAAGTTACAGGAAGCATGTTGAAAATGCAAAACAAGTTTAGAAAGACTTAAAATGATAATTGATTGTAAACACTAAATACATTTAAATAATTTAGAAGACTTTTTTTTTTCTATGATAGAAATAATTGTGGCTGTTTTAGTATGGTATATTATGTGGAATAAATGAATTTTAGGATGAGCTGGAGTAAAACTGTGTTATTATGTTAATTATTTTTATGACTGTAATTTTATAAATATTTTTCCTTGAGCTGTGTCTTTTGTGAAATGATAGATAAAATTGATAACTTCAGATTAATATTCTTGAATCTCATATGAGAAACCCATTAAGAAAGTTTGCTTTATCTAGTGAATTAACAATTTGATATGTTTACAAGACACATATGTGAAATTTTACTTTATACTTTCCAATTTTTAACTTCTCAAAAAAAATTGTAAGGGTATTGTTACTTGTTCAGTGTGGAATTAAATGACATTATGAAAAGAAAAGTTTCTGGGCGAGGGTAATAGATAAATCAACCTACCATCTAGCTACAGTATCTTATAGTTGACAAATTATGTATAATTTGAAGTTTGTCATTTTTTATTAACTAGTACTGTTGGTAATAAAAAGTTAAAGTACAAAGCCCAAATTCTATAAAATTATGTTAAGAACTTGGGGTATGCTATTTATGTGATGCAAGACAATCCAGTACAAAATGCTACCACGTTATACAAATTAATTTGTGTTTCTTCAATATTTTCTGTTACATTAATCTATTGCACTAATGATAAATTGACCATTTATTTGCAGTTACTCATTGGTTGTGATTCCTGTATTGATGAGCATTTTGTGGCTGAAAACATTTTTGACCATTGATAAATGTTTGTCAGCTACTTTAATGGTTGGTGAAAAAATAATAAAAAGGCAAATTTTATAAAACAAATAATTATCAATTATTTACAATAAAATTAGAACTTTGTGTTGAACTAGCTTGTAAGTTTATTAACAAGTTGCACCTTTCCTAAAATGTTTAGGCCTAAAAAAAAAAGGTGTAGTTTCCTATTACATGCTGAAAAATAGGGTTGATAGGTAGGTACAATTCCTTAAAATTATATTGAAATGTGCAGTGAGATTTTGAACTTGTTCTAATCATAAAAATGAAAGTTTGGGTTTTACTTTTGGTTAAATACATTTGTTGCTGTTATATTTAACCCAGTTTGGTCACCTCTAAAGCATTATTGGTGAGACAAACAAGAATGTTTTTGTCATCTGTCGGATATACTTTAGTTTCGTATTGTTTAATGAGTGACTCTTCAGTTATTCATCCTGACATGTACAGTAGAACTCACTTTCCATGGGGGCATTCCTCATCCTATATGGAAAGAAGCATGATCTGTGCACTTTCTAATTTAGCCATAGAGCTGAGCATAGTAATATTTTATTGAAACAACAGTAATTTTTTTGATTTCTCCAAAAATATCCTAAAGTAGAAACATGTTGTCTTGTCTTCATAAATCTTCTTCTTATCCATAAAAAAGTTTCTATGTCCACAATTATGCATTGTCAGTTATTCAAAAGTTTGTAATGAACAATCTGATTATGTTGTGTCGATCTTGTTCCATTGGGTCTGCTGTGTCTAGAGAAGTGATCCTCCATTATTCCTGTTACTTCATTTACTTCACTAAACCTGTTTGAAATTTTTTCTGTGTGAGACATAGATGGATGACAGGATGCGAATAAACTGTACTTGTATGATGATTTAAAGCTGTCCTTCAGGTCAAGCAAGTTCCAACCTATGGGCCATGTAGTGTATTTCAACACCCTAGGGTGCATTTACTACCAAACATGTGTAATGACTAAATTGACATTGTTTTATAACTTCAAAGCCTATCATCTTGGATTTAAGTTCATTAGGCAAAATAACAGTCTTTCTTTTTTTTTGAAGGCCTCCTTCAGTGCTTCTAGAATAACCTTAGACTTGCCATTTTCTATGTTCAATGAAAATTAAGTTATTTTTTTATTATCTGGACATACACAATTTATTTTTCTGTATCAGTTCTGTCTATCCTCCTATCAATCACAAAGGAAAAGACATTGGCAGCATGTAGTAATAAGTTGTTGTACAGAGTACCAGCAATTTCAGAGATGAATATCCTAACATGCATTATCATTGCAGTAGGTTATGCAAAAATATCGTCTATCTACAGTTTTGTCAATGTTAGTAGGCAGTTCCGAACAACTTATCAACTTTTACAAAACTATTAGAATCTATATTCTTTGGCCTTTTTGCATACTTCCAGGCTAATTTTCTTTTCTATCTTCTGCTACTAGATGCGCAGTGATTGCTCTTAGTTAAGCATCATACTTCATGAACTGTTGCACAGAGTCCTTTTTTAACATTCATGATGCTGTACTCTTTTGTTGTGGTAGTATTGATGAGGTATTTGTTGCCAAATAGTCTTGACAGTGTCTTGCTTGTCTTTTTTGGTATATTTCAACCAGTGTAGTTTTGTTTTGGTTGGGGGAGGGGGATAAGGATGGGCCAAATAGTTTGAGGAAGAATAAAATTAACACTTTCATGTCATTGGAAGTCACAATATACAAAATTTAATAATCATAAAAGACTATCATATGAGCTCTCCAAAATGGGGTCTGCTCGATACATCCTGGTGGACATGCCTCTTATTGCAACCAATCAGTTTTTAACTGTGCCACCCACGCAACTTCTATCCATTTTATAAAAGCTATTGAGTGATAGTATGTTGTCTCTGAAACTAAAGGACCTGCAACAGTTTCGGAAGCTGTGTCTGACCAACAGTAATATTGGTTCATTAAATGCTGGCGTGTTTGAGGTCTGAAGTTTGTTCAACTCCACTGGAAAAATAAAGTAATAAAACAAACATGAATAATTTTATTCCTAAATAAATAAATTCTAATTAATTAAATAATGAAAGAAATATAAATATAATACTGTTACGACAGCGGGGGTCACGTGACGAGTATTCTAGAAGATTCGCTAGTGTGTTATGACAGCGGAAGTCGAGTGACGCTGGTAGCACAGTGAGTGAATTGTTGTAAACTGTAGTGTGTGTAACTGTGAAAATAAGTGCATTACAAAGTTGTATTGAGGAAGAATAAACAAGTTTTATTAAGAAAGGACTTATATTGTAGAAGAATTAACAAACAAACATACAGAGACGAAACAAATTGGTGTCAGAAGTGGGATAAAAAAATGGAAACGAGAAGCGGCAAATCAAACAACAGCTTAGCAGATTTGATAGCAGCAATACAAGAACAGCAAAAGAAACTAGAAGAGAAACAAGACGAGAAATTACAGCAGTTCTTGGAGGAAAAAGAAAAGAAACAAGAAGAGAAATTACAGCAGTGGTTGGAGGAAAAAGAAAAGAAA